GAATGTGAACTGGAAGATGTGCTGTCATGCTATAAAGAAATTTATATGCAAAAATGTGAGATGGAACCTAGCAAGTTTATGAAATGCAAACTATTGATACAGGATCTTCCAGTTTTCAGTGTGCACACACCCACACAGAATGTAAAGTTATTGTACTCTATACTTTGGGGGTAGTGAAAGTTGCGAATTTGAGGTACTTGTGTATTAAATTGATGTATGTAGAATATTGTTATTTTAATGCAGTATAATCCTTAGTTTGAAATGGGTGCATAAGTTGTTTTGTGGATTGTTGCATTGCGATTCCTTTTTTAAAATATTTCGTGGATGGTTTTCTGCCTTCTCCATTTACAGACACGTGTGGTAACCTCTACTGTAGCAGTCCTTATTAACTCTTGTTTACATTATTTGTTTTTGGTGGAAGTTCGCTCTTTAAGGGGAATTGCTCCATCAGGAAGCAGGAAATCATGTTAATATGACTTTAAATGAGGTACAGTTGTGTGACACATATGTAGCTGTCTTAATAGTATGAATCCTGTTGTGTTATAAACAAGGTACATAATGTGTTGTGCAAATATAAATATAAATGCTATCAGGACTAATAAACAACATTCTTAATTCACACAACACATTATGGAAACTGGAAATACATTTGACACAATGGACCAGACCATGAAAGTATTACATGCAGAAAGGAAGGGACCCAAACTCAAAACATTAGAAAGATATTATATCTGGACCGAAATGCTACAACATAGCGACAACATCGACACAAGGAGCAGCCCATACACATATCATAAGAAGGTCAAATGTACGTAAGTACGTATACTTATGTAACCTAATATCCAGTTTAATAACACACTCACAAGCTTCTCCTTATAATAATTAAAATACCGTTACTCATCACTCCAAATAAACAACCTGTTGGGTGACATACAGAATAATGAGCATAAGCCCCACAAGACAATAGTGAGGTCAAGACCACATGACCTAACTCATGTGAGAAGATTCCCACATTACAGTCACTTCTACCGCCAGAAAATCACGTCAACATGTAGTGGTCACCAGGAGATCAGGGTTCATTTCCTAGGCAACGAGCAACATTCCTGCTACAATGGCTAGGAATCAGAATGCATCCATTCCAATACAGCAGCTAGCAATATCCAAGCAACGAATTGTTCATTGCATAACAGCAGGCACAATTAACCCTTTGACAGGGTATTCCCTATTCAGTCCGAGGGCAAGTTATAACAGTCCAATGTCAGCCAGAGACCAGGAGAGTTTGTATTCAACGTTAGCAGGAAAGAGTTCTTATCTGACTAGAACAGAAATGTTGTAATACTGGAGAAGAAACGTCTCAAGGAAGTTGTAACTGGTGAATAATTGTGTGAGTGTAAAAGTGACTTTTCAGTAAATATTCCTTCAATGGCTAAGGAAGAAACTGTGCTACAGGGTATGATTGATGGACTAATCGAAATTGGAAGGTGCTATGGCATGAAAATAAATGTGGAAAAAACAAAAGTAATGAAAATTTCGAGACAACCAACCACAGTCACAATAAAGATAGACCAAAAACAACTGGAGAATGTGAAATGGTTTAAATATTTGGGTAGCTTGTTAACAGATGATGGAAAGTGTACTTGTGAAATTAAATCTAGGATTGCCAAGGCAAAAGCTGCATTTAGCAAGAAGAGGAATCTTTTTACCAGTAAATTGGACTTAAATTTGAGAAAGAAACTAGTGAAATACTACATTTGGAGCATTGCTTTATATGGGGCTGAAACTTGGACACTTAGGGCAGTAGATCAGAAACACCTGGAAAGCTTCGAAATGTGGTGTTGGAAAAGGATGGAGAAGATCAGGTGGACCAATTATGTGAGAAATGAAGAAGTGTTATTTAGAGTCAGTGAGAAGAGGAATATCCTACATGAAATAAGAAAACGGAAGGCTAATTGGATTGGTCATGTCTCACGCAGTAACTGCCTTCTGAAAGAAGTTATTGAAGGAAAGATCGAGGGGCGGATAGAAGTGACCAGAAGATGAGGAAGAAGGTGTGAGAAGATGCTGGATGACCTTGGGGACAGAAGAGGATATTCTCATTTGAAGGAGAAAGCTCTAGATCGCATTAAGTGGAGGAACTGTTTTGGAAGAGACTTTGGACCTGTCGTCTGACAGATTGCTGATGAATGATTGAATTCCTTCAAATCCAAGAACACACATAGTTTCATGTCCCGTTACCCAGCAAACATGTGACAATATATTGTTTCAGGGCTTTTGCTGCTCCATATGCATCCATTTTTATTATCATCATTTTTTAGCTTAGCCTTTATTGTTATTTCATTATAGGAGCTTTTCCACTATTAATTGGACATCTGTCAGGCCTTACAAATGCATAATTTTATTTAATTTTGCATTTTGTTAAACAGTGGTAGTGCAGCTTAACTTATGTTGACTGAGAAACCTCCATACATGCTGATGGACTCAGGCACACACCATACAAGGGGGTATGCTCTCTCTGTCACCACTCTCAACCCTACCGATTTAACATCTCACTGTACTGAGGCTTCAAAGTCATTTCTCTTCTTATTAGGATTTTTCATGGTATTTACTCTCATTTTCCAGGGTGATTTGAATGAACTTCAACGTATACATGGTGAGGAGCAACAATATTCCTGTGATGAGTGTGGTGATTCATTCAGTCAAGAGCAAATTCTGATAGCAAATCGACGCATACGTAGCGGGGAGCAGTCATTTTGTTGCAATATGTGTAGTAAGTCATTCAGCTATAAGAGTCATCTGAAGAGACACCTGCGCATACATACTGGAGAGCGGCCGTTTTGTTGTGATGTCTGTAGTAAGTCATTCAGTGTTAAGAGTAATCTGAAGACACATCATCGCATACATAGTGGGCAGCAGTCATTTTGTTGCAACATGTGTAATAAATCATTCAGCTATTTGAGTGAGCTGAAGAGACACCTGCGCATACATACTGGAATGCGGCCATTTTGCTGTGATGTGTGTAGTAAGTCATTCAGTGTTAAGAGTAATCTGAAGACACATCAGCACATACATACTGGGAAGCAGTCATTTATATGTGACGTTTGTAATAAGTCATTTATTTCAAAGAGTGATCTGAAGACGCATATGCACATACATACTGGGGAGAAGCCATTTTGCTGTGATGTATGTAGTAAGTCATTCAGTTTGCAGTGTAATCTGAAGTTTCATAAGTGCATACATAGTAGGGAGAAGCCATTTTGCTGTGCTGTATGTAATAAGTCATTCGGTGTGCAGAGTAGTCTGAAGAGGCATCAACGCATACATAGTGGGGAGATGCCATTTTGCTGTGCTGTATGTAATAAGTCATTTGGTGTGGAGAATAATCTGAAGAGGCATCAGCGCATACATAGTGGGGAGAAACCATTTTACTGTGCTGTGTGTAATAAGTCATTCGGTGTGCAGAATAATCTGAAGAGGCATCAGCGCGTACATAGTGGGGAGAAGCCATTTTGCTGTGCTGTGTGTAATATGTCATTTGGTGTGCAGAATAATCTGAAGAGGCATCAGCGCATACATAATGGGGAGAAGCCTTTTTGCTGTGATGTGTGTAATAAGTCATTTAATCGGCAAAGTAATCTCAAGACACATCAGCGCATACATAGTGGTGAGCGGCCATTTAAATGTGATGTGTGTAATAAGTCATTCAATCGACAAAGTAGTCTGAAGACACATCAGCACACACATGTTGATGTGTGAAGTAAATCATAGAGCAGTAGAGATGGGTTTAGACTAAAGAAACAGTATGTGTCTTGTAGCGTGCCACAGTGTTACATGTTTTAAGTAAGACAGTTTTACTGTGTGAGACATGCTGCATTTTTGTAGAATGCTACAAGGTATTGGAGTTGATTGCTGTTGCTAATTTTTCAAACTGAAGGGAAATGAACTGAGTCCCATCATACAAAACATCTGTGCAAATGAGTTCCATTTGATTCTGATTGCTGAATGTGCACAATTCCCTGTCTTGTTGAATGGGAACAGACATGACATTACATGACATTCTCCTACAGTTATGATTTTAATTCAGCTATGGAAGCTAATGATTAGTAGAGTGTAGTCACTGAACCTGATCGACAGCTTATACTCTTAATTCAGCAGCATCATATATTTTTTTTCTGTATGTTATCTGTGCTCTTCTCCCATTACATGTGAGTAAATTCGTTGATCAGTTAGTTACAGATTGATATATCACTTGAATTGAGTATATTCAGATAACTGTTATGAATTGGTCAGATGAGTACAAACTACTCTATATTGGACATTGCAGATGAGATATCTTTATGCAGGATACTAGGTATATTGATTATAAAAAGAAAGTTAAATAAAATATGTTGAATCTCCTTGCGGAGAAATAAAGTAGTACAGAGAAGTTAATTCAAAGGATCATGAAAGACTTCCCTACATATTTTCATTGTGAATATCAACAGAGAAACTGAGCTGTCTGTCATGAGGTCAAAAGAGAAAGTGGTTTGGCTTTGAGGCACTCCTTTTTGCTTTAGGTCTCCTTTGCCTTAGAGGTCAAAGTAAGTTTAAATGTGATTATATAATTCTTTAATAAAATTAGGTAATTTCATTAATATTATTAATTGGAATTCAGAGGTTTCATGTTTTGAAATGACACAAGAGTAAAAATACCTTTTATTTGTGCTTAAATGAATGGATTTGCACGTTGCAGTTGTCCTCAGAAAAGTTTGAACCTAGGCTGATGCTTAAAGAAGGGAATATGGAATGAAATCATCTGGCTCAGGATAGGGGCCAGTGTCCAGCTGTGAACATAGCATTGAATGGTAATGAACGCTTGCATTATGTAACATATTGGTAATTCATTGACTGGCAGAGCAATCAGTAGCTTCTCTGGAAAGGTGCAGCTGTGTGAAGTTGATTAATATTTTGCATTAGAGCTTCTAGACTGATTTCATGGTACTGGAATTTGATGTTGACCCCATCCTGCTGAAGTAACCCCACCAGTGCACTTTGGTTTAATCGGCCTTAACCCTGCGATGCGAATACAGTAAACTTCTTGTTTTGTGATATATTTGGCAGGTGTGCTGGTATTAAGACTACAGAGCTTGAAATTGTAAGGTAATTATGGAAAGATGAGTTGGGAGAAGTTGTGCTTTAATTTAAGGTAGTATCGTGAAATTTTCCTCTTGTGACTGACAAAAGTGAAAAGGCTCAGGATCATCTTCATGCAGATATTTTACATGTAATGAATTCAGGAAATAAGAATTTGCATACTATATTTGTCAGGTGGTTTAAACATTAAAAAGGAATTCACTGCATGGAAAGAATTTATCTACATATCTGTGACTTCCATATCATGTCTGTTCCTGGCTCATGAAATTGTGAACGTTACCAAATGTATCTCCAATGGTTAGTAACTCTTTCTTCTCCTGTTATATACATTGGAGTAGTACAGTATACAGGAGGGCAGTGACTTGCATCCAGCCACTCAGATTTTCAAACTCTGTATTTCCACCAGACTGAAGCAAAGCTTGTCTTCTTTCAAGAAATGTATTTTAGCATTGTGTTTTTTTTGTTTCAGACACACATTAATTACTGCTATATAAGTAACTCCAGGGAGCTGAGTTAGTAATCATTAATGGAAGTTGTTATTTTTGAGACATCACATCCCACTAGCACAGAATCTGTTTTAATGTATATAAATTTTATGTCACATTGTGAACACATGCTGTGCGCAGTGAAACAGCTGCTTGTGTAGCTGAACCTGGTGTACCATAGTTAGTTAGTTATTGGAGAGGGTGGGTTTCCCCATGCACTGAGACCTGTATTGGTCCATTGTACTTCCCTCTATGATTTCTACCAGTCTCTATATTCTGCCGGTACTGGTGCTTACCATCAGTCCCGCCCAACCAGCGAGACCGGCTCTACTAACAGAGGTATCTATAATGCTTCCTCATCTACCAGAGGTATTAGAGACTGCTGTTGGGCGGGAAACGTCCGTTAATTTGGCTCAGTGACCTCCTTTGGAGATATGAGGTTCTTTTACGTGCCGTAAAGCTACGACACGGGACCCACTGCTTAAAGTCCCTCCCGAAGGACTTGTTCCCTGAATTTTTCCCTCCCTTAAAAATTTGACGACCTCGGCCAGGTATTTGAACCCACGTACTATGAGTCATGAGGTGGGAACGTTACCTCTAGACTACGGAGGCCGCTTGGTGTACCTTAACTGAAGAAGAAAAAAAATGTTTCATAATTGAGCTTCATTCACAGAAATTCAAATTTTAAGACTGGTATCCCACATCACTTAGAATCACAGGGTTTTCGGATTGTGTGCATTGTCTGGTGTTCAAGAAACTAGAGAACATACCATTTCATGAACTGGGTCTGTTTCAGTCCCCTCTTTGGGGGCAGGAGGGGGCAATACTCTGCTGGGTCTATTAGAAAGCTCTTTCTAGCAGGACAATGGACAAAGTCCAAAAATCCAGCAATTCCAGAAACCTTTATAATGTACTGGTATTCTACAGGTATGTGGGTTTTCTGGCAAGCGTGTTTTATTTAGGGTTTATTTTACAATGCTCTTAGTATCTTAGGCTCCATAGGATTATAGGAATAATGCTTGATAAATGGTGAACTTGAAACGATTTGAAACACAGCAGTCATGACTGAACTTGATCGACTGAAACGTCACTTGACTTTTACTGGACAGTGTGGCATTATATCCCAGAAGGCAGAAATCAGTCTGTTCTTTAAATAGACAAACAGTACAGTCTCATAATATACAATGTGTGCAGTTGAAACAGTGTCATCACATCTCCAACTGATGCTCTTTCATCTCCTAGATGCATTGAGCAATTAATTCCATTAGCAAAGGTTAAAGCAGAATCTAAAAAATGTTCAACAAAGTGCATTACCTTCAGCAAGGAGGTTACCTGTTGACTACACTTGTGAAAGGTGCCTAGAAGAAGATGAATCAGCTGCACATATCCTATGTGATTGTGAGGCCCTAGCTTATTTAAGATTTTATCACCTAGGTCAGTTCTTTATGGAACCAAGTGACTACTATGATGCCCCCATAAGGAAATTCCTTCACTTCATCTGAAGTGTAGGATTAATAAAGGGTTAATCAAAAGGGGAAGCACAATAGATAATTGATGGTCATGGCGTAAGGACTAGATTATTATGACCCACCACTCATACAATTATTCATTCATTCAGTCAGGTCAGTTGCCTTTTGTTGGAAGAAGCTTGAAAAAGATCTTGTCAGTGTAGCAGATGAGGAACTCTGTAACTGCAACCTCAGCAAAATATCCAGCTGTGCTGCCACTGGGTTCACTTTAAGGTCCTTACAGTACAAAATGTTGGGGGACTACACAATGGCCAGATTGTGAGAGATAATGTCTGTTGTATGAGACTGTTTAGCTACATGAGCCAAATGCAGCAGTAGGGCCACCAGGGTTCTGGAAAAACAATGCAGTACACTCCCCACACAAATCATTTTATTGCATACACTTTCTAAAGTATGGTATATTCTAATAATCACAATAAATTTCCCATAAAACCTCATAAATTGATCATTACACCGTAACATTTTAGAAACATCTCCTCTGCTTTAAATTTCCATGTCTTTTAAATTCACCTAACTCTTGCTGAAGTCGCAACCGAAAAGTATAGCATAGCCAGATAAGGAAGTTGCTTGACAAGAATTCAAAGAGGAAATACGACATGCCCCAATATTATGGTTTGCAACACTGTTAAATTGAACTGATGGCAATCAGTTGAATTGCTGACAACCAGTTTCCTAAAATATTCATAACAAAGGGTTTCTTATAATGGGTACAATACAATAAACAGAGATGAGCTGTGTGAACTACATGTTCATGATGAGACAGATTTTTTATTTGGTACATCAAATGTCCCAGTGAGTATAAAGTTATCATGTCACCTTCAAAAATACCTCTAGTCGGGAAGTGGCAGTTTCTGCACAGCAAGCTACATGTGGAAAAGTCTGCAACCCACTTCAGGACTGTGCTGAAAGGCATCAACAAAGGCACGGTAGAGCTGGTATGTGCACAGAGGGTTTGGAAGTTCAAGGAAGTACATCTTGAGTGCAGATGCAACGGCATGAAGAGGTTTCTGATATTCACAGACAACTGGCACCAAATACTCATCAAATTCATGCCTGTAAAAAATTGAATTTAATATTAGTAACCTTATATATCAACCCTTATCCAGCTATCAGAAGATCCAGAAAAAAAATAAATCATAATTAGTTTCACTCCCAGCATCTTTATAACTGGCAATCAAAGTGTGTAAGTGTGACAACCAATTACCTGAAGGTGGGTGAGGCACCAACTCTAGAAACGCTCTGTAAAGCTAATACACCTCACTTATTTGACAATGCCCAGCACAGGACTGGTATCAAAAATTGAGCATTGCCACAGATGTTTAGACAATCACAAATATTGAATATCTGCGTGCATGTGTAAATTACTTGCTTAATTATGATGAGTCCACAGAGTTTTCAGTTTTTGGAGAATTAAAATACAGCTTTCTAAACAATACAGACAATAACAGATTTTACCTGAGCTTCTCAATTTTTGATGTAGCACCGGACTGCACATAGAATCCTCCCACAATCCCTCACTTCCATCTTCTGCTTTCTCAGTGTCAGCCTAGGAATGGAAGTGCAATGTGGATAACCCTCTGTACTACTGGAATCAGAATCTCACTGCCTTCGTTCAGATGCATTCACTTACACTGCTTGTATACACTGTTCCCTTCTACCACAGCCTATTTGAATGGCACTCTCCACACACTTGTTTCAGTGTCAGAAATATTAGAAACTCTCTTGATAATATTTCCACCCTATCATGGTTAGTGTGTCTGCAGTCACTGAAAACATTCAGTAGCATAGCTAGTGGTGCAGCATCCCTCACTAGACAGGCACAGAGGTAGATAGCAGACGAGGGGTGCACTGGATATGCAAGTTGGGTATTGTGCTGGTACGCTGTTAATATCTATACGGAAACAAATTCAGTACTCCTGAGATGGGTGGTCAACAAGTGTTCTCCAGGGTCAGTGCCAGAAACCTCTAGCAGTGTCCTTGACTGGTTAAGGTGACTTCCTGGACAATAAAGAACTGCAGACAACAGAAAAGAAACCAACTTCTGGTATGAAGATGGCTCTCCCATGGGGCTGAACTGAGATGGAGGCCTTGCCTCTCATGCCATGGCATATGTTAGTGAGAAGGTAAAATAAACATCAGATGGCTCACCCTAAAAAATAAATACTGAATTAAAACCTGGGAATCAAAACTGTTACACGAAGCTCCATTTACTGTAGGTGGGAACACATTTTGCTTTATGACACATCTTATTTCTGCTGCTACTTACATATTTATAACTACAGCCTGTCAAAAGACTATGGAGCTACGTATTCATAAAAATTAAATAATACAAAGCGGGTCCTCTGCATCCATGACAAGAAGAAGAAACTGCTGAAAATCAAAGATTTTGAAAACATGCCTTAAGATTAGGAGGTGAAATATTAAATTCTAACATCCATAAGCTAATTACTTCCATTTGGCAGAAGGAAAATGTTTCTGTTCAGTGGAAGGAGTCTATTATTGTACCAGTTCACAAGAAGCGTGATAAAACTGACTGTGGGACACCACTGCTCTCAACTTCATACAAAATTTTATCCAATATTCTTCTCTCAAGTTTAAGTCCATACACAGAAGAAATTAATGGGTATCATCAGCGTTGGTTTTTATCTAACTACATTTTACTTTACTACGTAGTAAAGAATAGCAGCGGCACGAACACAGAAAGACTACACAAGATATCACCTATACAGTGTGGTAACAAGAACTAGCCACTGCAGCACTTTAAACATAGGGTGAATAACCCTAACAATTTTAAAATTTAGGAAAGAATTTTAAAGGTTTTAAAACTAGAACTAAAGATTTTATTATAGTGCTATTACAACAAAGTCAAAATTAACGTGTGTAAAATAAAATAATCTACAAACCAGACAGTTATCAACGAAATAGAAGTTGATAATAACAAGGAAAGTGTTTTTAAATGTTAAATTTTGAGCTGGGTGCAGTGTGACAGCGACATGAGTGTTATACACCTGATGATGGCCGTCTGAGGCCGAAACATGTAGTGTAGGGGAACAAGATCATAGACAAAAATATATTGTTTGCACTTGAGACGGAGGTTGTATCATTATATAATTTATCGTATGGAGTGCAACAGGATGCTTAAATATAATATTAGGAGAAAATATTGTACAATTTTCTGATAGAGTTTGGGGTGCCCACAAAACTAGTTAGGCTGATTAAAATGTGTTTAAACATATAGTGAAGTCTGTACAGGTTATCATTTGTCTGAAAATATTTGTACCCAGAATGGTTTGAAACAAGGAGTTGCTTTATCATCACTGCTATTAATCTTTGCTTTAGAATATACCATTCGTAATGTCCAAGAAAATCAGGTGGGACTGAAATTAAATGGGACTCATCAGCTGTAGGTCTATGCCGAATGTCTGAATCTACTGGGTGATAATATTAGATACCAGAAAGAGAAACACACGAACTTTAATTGATGCTAGAAAGGAGACTGGTCTAGAAGTAAACACAGAGAAAACTGGGAGTGTAGGGAGCAAGATCAAAGACACAAGAATATATTGTTTGCACTTGAGACGGAGGTTATATCATTTATCGTATGGAGTGCAACAGGATGCTTAAATATAATACAGAGAAAACTAATTATATATTGGTACCTCATCACCAAAATGCATGCAAATATTATGGCATAATGTAACTGATGTTTTGATAACGTGAGGCAGTTCAGATATTTGGGAACAACTATAACAAATCAAAACCTGATTCAGGAGGGAATTAAGAGGAGATTGAACTCTTGTGATCCTTGCTACCACTCAATCCGGAGTCTTTTGCCTTCTTGTCTGCTACCTAAAAACATAAAAATTAGAATATACAAAACAATAGTTTTGCCTGTGGTTCTGTATGGGTGTGAAACTTGGTCTCTTGATGCTATGGGAGGAACATAGACTGAGGGTGTTTGAGGACAGGTTGTTGAGAATATTTGGACTGCAGGGATGAAGTGATAGGAGGTTGGAAAAAACTGGACGAGGAACTCCACGGTTTGTACGCTTCTCCAAGTATAATTAGAATGATCAAGTCAAGGAGGATGAGATGGGCAGGACATGTTGCACGATTGGGGTCGAGGAGAAATCCATGTAGGATATTGGTGCGAAAGCCGGAAGGAAGGAGACCACTGGGAAGACCAAGGTGTAGGTGGGTGAACAATATTAAAATAGTTCTGAGACCGACAGTCTTGGATTGATCTGGATCGGGATAGGGACCGCTGGAGGGCTCATGTGAACACGGTAATGACACGTCGGGTTCCATAAAATACTTGGTAATTCTTGAGTGGCTGCACAAATGGCAGCTTCTGAAGAGAGACTCAGCTTCATGAGGGTGTTAGTGAGGATCCAGACCATCCAAAACAATCCACACGATGTGCCCCTCGGCGTTAGTTTATTTTTTATTTTACTTCCCAGCTGGTAATAGGCTTGAGTTAAGAAATTTACATCTTGAAGCCATTTTTGTGCAGGACAAAAAATGGCGTTGATAAGAAATAAAGCAACGTTTGCTATATTCATTTTTATTTATGCATAACGTTTACAAACAATATGTATAGGTGTGAAATTCTAAAATTCAGGTTTTTTTGTGAAGATAAAAGAAACAATATGTCGCAAAATCTTTGAGAAGATTTTAAACATAAAGTCCATTATTTTTTTGTTTTTCCTACCGTCTATTGGTAGAATGTGGAGTTAATCACAGTTATCCCGAGCAATCCCGAGCGAGGATCCCGAGCCACGACCGATCACACACGCATAAGACCTGTAAGACTGTTAACGCTGTTGACGGCCATTACGGTTGCTACCACCGGCTTATCGATTATAACAATCTGTTGCAAAGTTATTACCTGGCTTGAATTTTTTTTTTAAATAGGTGTGTAAGTTGTGTGTATTCTTTAGGGAATCATCAGTATCATTCTAAAGAATTTATATTTTCTCGTGTTTTGAGAAAATGCTAGAAGCGAATACCGCTCGGTTTCGTGATATTCCGCAGTTTCAAGTTCTATTTGGGATTCTTCTAAACTTCTCAGCTGCCTTTCTGATGTTCATATTCCAGTTGGAATACACATTTTTACCGTGTTACGTATAATAAGATATTGTGTGCTTTACCGTGTTACGTATAATAAGTCTGTGCTGTGAGAACAGAGAAAGCCAAATCAGTATGTGTTCGTACACAATTATTAGTATATTTCCTTACAGACTTGGGCAAATATTCGCGGCTAGGTACAAGTACGGTTGTTAGAAATATCATTTCTTATCAATAGGATTCTACAAATCAATTCATTTGCAACCCACAAAACGTGTGATAAGAGAAGTTTTCATGTTATGAAATATTGTGCATTCTCAGTGCCAAGAATTCTGTTACAAGGAGCCAAAGAAATATTTCCTGCTGTGAGAGAAAGGATGGTAAGTGTTTTGTGCTTGTGTGCGCAGAAGAATTTTATTATGTGTGAATTCTCATAGCCTAAAATGTAAACATTATATACCAATCTTGTGTTAGTTGAGAAACAGGCTCTTGACTCAGCTCAGTACACACCATCGTGGTGGCTGCGATATGTGGATGACACATTTGTGGTCTGGCCTCATGGTCCAGAGAGATTGATGGTGTCTGCGATATGTGGATGACACATTTGTGGTCTGGCCTCATGGTCCAGAGAGATTGATGGTGTCTGCGATATGTGGATGACACATTTGTGGTCTGGCCTCATGGTCCAGAGAGATTACAGAATTTCTTCTACCACCTAAATATTTTAAGGCCTTCCGTCTGCTTCACTATGGAAACTGAATCAGACAGTGTTATTTCCTTTCTGGAGGTTCTGGTAATCAGGAAGGAGACAGAACTGGTCACACAAGTCTACAGGAAACCCACCCACACTGGCCAGTATCTCAACTTCAAATCTAACCTTCCGCCACATGTAAAAAGAGGCTTGATTATAAGTCTCCACGACAGAGCCTCCACCATATGCCAAGATCGACAAGATTTGGTCAAGGAAATTAACAACCTGAGACATGATCTTCAGTTGAACTGTTATCCCCAAGGTTTTGTTGACTCAGTCATTAATTCCTAGGGCAGTAGTTCAAAGAAAGAGGGAAAGCCTCTGTGCTTTGTATATATTCCATATCTGAAGGGTGATTCTGAAAAGTTTAAATGGATAGGGAATCGATACAACATTAGGACCATCTTCAGAACAAAACACACTCTTAGGAACTCTCTCGTGAAAACCAGACCGAAAAGAGATCCGCAACAGATGGCACAGTGCGTCAATAGCATTCCCTGTAAATGTAGCAGAACCTACATTGGTGAAACACACAGACCTCTGGCTGTGTGGCTACATGAACATAGGCATAACCTGGAAGAAGGTCTTCTAGAAAAATCAAAATTAGCTCAACATGCCGATGAAGAGGGACATATGATAGGCTGGGATGAAGTTAGGATTTTGGATATTGAAAGCCACAACATGTATAGAAAATACCAGGAAGTGGCCCATATGGCATCCTTGGTCAGCCCAGTCAGCCAACCCAGTGTGGACTTTTCTCCCATCTGGATCGCCATTATCTGTATGACGTGATATATGCTTTATTGAATTCTATTAAGTTCTCAATTAGATAAGTGTGATTTACTCCATTGATGACACTAGTAGTAGACACTATTAGTTTTCACTATGTCTCCTTTCTGTTACATGCTTTGGGATTCATGGACTTGGTTAGTTTGGTTTCGTGGCATAATTTCTGCATCCCTATCTATCATGGTTCCACGCATGTGCGTGCTTGGAACAATTTTTAATGTATATTTTTCCTGTTAGCTCTCATGGACTTAGCTTGGTCTCAGGTATTTATAGCCTTAGTGTTTTAGCCAGCAAGTCATGATGCAAACCAGGCCATGAATATAAAAGCTGAAGATGTCTCAGACTCACAAGAGAATGGGGATCCTGTTCAAATAACAGTTCAGGAATTAAAGGCTGAACCTGAGGTGAGCTGTATGTTTCTGTGTGTAACTCACCTCAGGTTCAGCCTTTATCTCCTGAACTGTTATTTGAACAGTATCCCCATTCTCTTGTGAGTCTGAGACATCTTCAGCTTTTATATTCATGGCCTGGTTTGCATCATGACTTGCTGTGTATCTCTCACCATATGGACCCACCAAAACCTTCTCTGACTTGGACTTGGACTTTTTTTGTAAATGACAATGTGGAGGCGGGGTCGAATACCTCCACTGGGACCCTGTGAGTTGTAAGAGGGGACAAAAAGGGAAGTCTCAAATCTGAGACACTAAAATATGGTCACGAGTCCCAAGGGACTTGGACCCAAGAAAGGGGGCACTGGCAAGGGCCAGCAGCATATATGAGTACAAAAGACAGACCCATCCACTGGTCAGAGGGGGCGCCACACAAAATCAAGACCGTACCTGTCAAACAGTGATAAATATCTGGTCATGAGCCCCAGATGGAGCTTGAAACCAAGACTGACTGACTGACCGACCGAACGTCAGTCACTGTGTGACTTTGACTTTGACATCAGTTGTCCAGTGATTGAGGGACCCAACAGAGTAGGTGTCTTCCCTCACCTGAGGACGGAAAGAGATCCAATTTCCGAAACGTGTTTTTTCTTAGTTATTTAGAATCCAAACCATGGACAAAGTCCAAAAACCCAGTATCTCTTTGTGTTAGTTTTCATCGTCCATCTGGGGAGTTTACATAGTTCTTCATATTATAACAGTTTGGTATATACAGGGTGTTTCACGACTTTAGGGCATAACTGCAGGAAGTGATTTCCTAGGTCTTTGTGATCAAAGAAGTTCATATAAAAATGTGGCCGATTTTGGACGGTTACGGAGTTATGACCGTTTTTTTCATTCCTGTACACACCCTCATGTGAACCACGTCTGTCAGCTGGCAGGTCACTAGTTTTAGCCAGCTACAGACAGAGTGTTCTCGTTATCTGGACACATGAGAGCTACCTAAGGCGGGGTGGGTTCGTATGTTCGGCGTGGTTCACAACCGAGCGGCAGCCTGTGTTGTGGCCAGCGGTGGCATTTTTGAAAATCAGCTTTAAGCACCAGTCAGTTCAAATTAAAGGTAATTTCACGAAGTTAACTTTACATTCATACTTTAAATGTATCATGTATTATGCTGGTTTATTATTTTGTTCCATTTATTGTCAGTAATCGTTACCTTCAATTCTGAGTTTAAAACGGTCATAACCCCATATCCGTCCAAAATCGGACACATGTTTATATGAACCTTTTTGATCACAAAGACCTAGGAAATCACCTCCTGCAGGTATGCCCTAAAGTCGTGAAACACCCTATGTATGTAGGAGAGAGAGATATTCAAGGAGAGTGATGTGGGTAGATTATGTAGCACACATGAGAGAATGAGAAATTCATACAAAGGTTTGGATAGAAAACCTGGAAAATGAGACCACTTGGGGTGATATTTGTGCAGATGGATTTTAAAGATATAATTTTTTGTTGTTTGCACAGGGTTTGTTTGTGTTGGAATGCAATCATGATGGGCATGTGTGAACACAGTAATGAGTGCATAGGTAACATAAAGATCAGATATTTTCTGTACTGCCACAGGGTCCATTGGATTCTGAGGAAGGTCCCTGCATTATAAACTTAATGGTTTTTGAGATTATGAAGTCTAGAGAAGAAATCTGCAGAGACCAGCTTTTATGGGGTAGATGTAATGAAAAACAGCTACAGCAAAAAGAGCATACATTGTTTGATATATGGTGTTGTACAGGCATTACTGATAAAAGATATGATGGTCTTACAGAACTATACAAAGTCAGAGAAGTTTTTAATGGGTCCATGTGGTGAGATATACCCAGCAAGTCATGATGCAAACCACGCCATGGATATAAAAGCTGAGGAAGTCTCAGACTCGCAAGAGAAAGCGGATCCTGCGCTAATAACAGTTCAGGAGATAAAGGTTGAACCTGAGGTAAGCTGTATGTTTCTGTATGTCCACTGTTAGGAAGATATCACAGATAGGCAGTAATTCCAGTTGTCTCTCTCATCTCCATCTGTCTGGCTGTCTGTGCACATGGAACAACTCCACTGTGCTGCTGACTGTCCTTTGAATACCTTTTTCTGAAGTGTCTCTAGACATTTATAGTTTGATGAATGAATGTTGCTTGTGATGTACCACTTTTTTTTCTTTTAAGCAGTTCTGATGTAGATGAAATTAAATTTTGTGTAGACTGAACTGTGTTTCAGAGAAATTCTGTAGCAGCAAATATCCTTATGTAGTCACAGAGCTGTCACAGGCTGATGTCGGTAAGTCATGTAGTGCACCTGTGAGAGTGAGAAATGCATACAAAGTTTTGGAGGGAGAACATAAGAGAAACAGACCACTTGGGAGACCTAAATGCAGATGGAAAGATGCTATTAAGGTAGATTTTAAAGAAGTAATTTGGAAGGGTTTGTACAGGGTCTGTTTGCCTTAGGATACAGAGCCATGATGAGCATGTGTGACCACAGTAATGAGCCTTTATGTACCATAAATAACTTCATGGAGCTGTGTGAGACTTTCAGAAGATACCAGTTGCTTGGCCACTGAAGAATTTCCCGACATTGTATGGAACCTGAGAGTTTATTAATTTGTTCCCTAGAACACATCACATATCCCTATCCAGGCCATACCACTGCATCCTATGTCTCTTTATGATCAATTTATATATTATCTTGCAATCTGTGCCTAGATCTTCCTAGTGATCTCTTTCTTTCTGCTTTTCTCAACACGTCCTATATGCATTCCTCATCTCCCCCATGTCTGCTATATGAGCTGCCCATCTCATCCTCCTTGACTTGATCATTTTAATTATGCTTGGTGAATGAAGGTTATAAGTTATGGAGCTCCTCCTTAAGATATTTTAGGTATGAAAGAAAGCAGATATATTCTGTACTGCTGCCATGACCATTTTCTCTCAGGAAGGTCACTCAGCTATGATCAGAATACTTTCTAATGATCTTGATAGATGTAAAAGTAAAGTAAAGCTATCCCTGTAACAGGCTGTGAAGGCCCATAGGGTTGTGTCACATTGAGGATCCAACATTTTCTCTAGACAATAAGTTCAAAGATGGCGGTAAGGTTGTCAGCCTTACGTGCCATCCGAACTTCATTCCCCAGGAAAATTATTTAATTCCTGGTGCTCATTTCTGTTAGAGGCTGAGTTGACCCAGGATTAGGTCAGTTGAAAGAAATCCAACGACCTCATCGGGATTTGATCCCACGACCTTCTGACTTGTAGCATAGTGCCACAACCAACTATGCTCCCGTGTGGCCCCTCTTGATAGATGTAGAGAAGAGAATCTGTACAAAACAGCTTTTATGAGCTAGATGTAATGAGAAGCAGCAGTAGCTAGGAGAGCATAAGCTGTTTAATGTGTGGTGTTGTGCATCCATTTCTGAGAAAGATGTGATGGTTTTTACAGAACTGTACAAATTCAGAGAACGTTTTAGTGGGTCTGTATGGTGAGCCATACCCAACACCTCATAATGCATATCAGGCCATGAATGTAAAGGCTAAGGCAGAAGAGGAAGAGGATCCTCTTGCAGTAACATTTCCAGAACTAAAGGCTGAACCTAAGGTGAGTTGTATGTGCACTGTTAGGCAGATAACACAAATGTGCAGAAGTGGCACTTCTCGTTCTCATCTCTATCTCAGTCTGTGCCTGTGAAGAAGCTCCACTGTGCTGTTGACCAGATTTTGAAGGTTTTCTTTCTAAAGTGTCTCTAGGCAACTGTAGTTTGTTGAATGTTGCTTGTGATGTACCAGTCCCATTTTCTTTTAAGCAGATCTAATATAGATGGAATGAAATACCGTGTAAACCAAATGTTTGCATATGATTCTGTAGTGGAAAAATCCTTCACATTTTCCTTGTCTGTCCAATCCCCTGAACAGTGCTTTGGTACTACATCATAGGGTTCCCAGGATCTATAAATTTTTTGTGTTTATGTATCCCTGCAAGTGAACCCATGCTTCAACAGAAAAGAATGTCAATTGTGGATCAATCTCATCTTGAGTGATACACTGTAGAAACCAACTGCAAAAATGAACCCTGTTAGCTGGATCTCACAGCTGCAAGGCATGTATTACTGTTGTCTTATATGGTTTAAGCTGCAGTAGTTGTGTTGCCCTTCTTGCACTCTGCTGTGACACTCCAGTGTTCTTTGAGGTAGACATTGAGCACCTGGCCCTTATTCTTTTGTTTTTTTGTCTAGTAAAGAGTCTCGTTAATCGAAGTTTATTTACCAATTTGTGAATTGTTTGTCTTCTGGGAACTCTTTTATCACAAAATTTTCACAGGCACTTACTAGCAGAATTGAATGCGTCATACAGAAATACACATTGCTCTAAAGTATACCGCATCATTGTAGAACACAGTGCTCACTAATTGTAACAGAAAAAATTACTAATGGAGTTGGTAAGTTTCATCCACTGCTGTCAAATCATAAACACATTCCCATGCATAAACCCCAATAATTATCATGAAACATAATCCTATCAAGCAGTTCACAAAATTAATAACTTCCCTTAATTCCAAACATTATCGACCATCAGATATGCTCATTCTGGCAAAATTCGTATTTGACTCACAGTCGACGGTGTGCTGGTTGCTGTGAATCGTGGAGCCATGAATCAGTCAACAACTGTAAGAACCTCCCTGTACAAATACAAAAAGATAAATCTACTCAAAGATAAACGCAATGAAGACGAAAAGCATTATTTTGTATGAGGTGGTATCTGATAGTTCCCAGACAGTTATTTTTGCAACTGCCTCAGTGAAAGAACATGAGAGGGGAGGCTAAAGGTCACACTTCTGAAAGCCTATTGCATCAGTCTGTCACGTGTCACCACACTCTGATCATGCATTCTTTTTACTGTAGTGATATTTTGACTTAATGTTTCATTTTGTCTGCAATGGATGGCAAAATGAAGCAATGTGTCTGTATCAAGTTTTGCGAGCAGCTTGGTAAATCCACTGCCAAAACCTTTGAAATGCTTTTGGAGAACATTCTTTAAGCCAGACAGCGGTTTTTCAATGACATTCACAGTTCAAGACCGGTCAAGTATGAATTGAAAATGACGAACATCCATGGTGACCAAACACCAGGAAAACAACAGAAAATGGTGAAAAATAAAGAACTCATCCACAAAAACGATCATCGAACGATGGATGAGCCTGCAGACACAATTGGGATCAGTTATGGATTTGCCTGGAGATCTTAACAGAAAATGTGGAATATGCACCATATTGCTCCATCATCAGAACAACACACCCATTCACGCATCCTTGAAAACAACAAAGTTTGTGAATAACAACATAGTTATCTTTTTTTTTCCCCCTTTTCTTTTTTTAATTGCTGGTGGTGTGGGACTAAGTCTCCTGTACTGCGGCCCCTTCTAGCCTAGTGTAGTAACCCCAGATGATAGGTAAGGGTGATTGTGGAGCAATTGGTGGAATGAAGATTGGCAAGGGAAACCGAAGTACTTGGAGAAAAACTGCCGCAGCGCCACTTTGCCCACCACAATCCCACTTGACCAGACCCGGAATCGAACCCGGGCTGCCGCGGTGGGAAGGCAGTTACTAACCACTCGAGCTGTGGTGCAGCCTTAACATGGCTATTGGTCCCCATCCTCCCTACTTGCTGGACTTAGACCCCTGTGATTTTGCTCTTTCCTGAATTAAAAATGAAACTGAAGGGACGTTTTGAAACAGTATATGACATGCAAAGGGAATTGCAAGTGGTACTAGACAACATTGAGGAAAATGACTTCCATGGCTCTCTTGAAGCATGGAAAAAACGATTGGAATGCTGTTTATGTTCCCAAGGAGACAATTTTGTAAGAGATGGCAGACAAATTAAGTTAAGCCATTTTTTTTTTACCTAATCTGGGATCTTTCCAGTACACCTCGCATAGTATTCACACAAGGTAACACATACACCGAGCCAGTCATGGTAGCTGAGCTGTCTAAGGCATGAGCTAGGGCGCAGCCTATTACTACTACTACTACTGATACTACCATTTTTGGGGAGGGGGCCATGATGTTTTCTGTGATGATTCTTCTAATGTTGAATGTGAACTGGAAGATGTGCTATCATGCTATAAAGAAATTTATATGCAAAAATGTGAGATGGGATTTTTTATTTGTTTCATTCTGGTCCGTCACACTAACAATTACAAATATAAATCACTCCGTCCAATGTGACCTGTAAGATTTTTACTACATGAAAACTTAACACCCTTACATGTTTCGGTCTGTGCGGACCATCTTCAGAGGGCAAACATCACTACAAATTGGAAACCACCATCACATAAGTTGTTTAGACGTAAAGTACGTACACTTACGAGGGGGTACCCAAAAGAAACCGAACTTATTTTTTTTAAACTTATTTATTCAAATTTTAAGCACAAACCTTCAATCCCCTTCAAAGTACTCTCCACTTACACTAATACACTTGTCTAGTCTTTTATCAATTTTTCAAAACATTGTCTAAATTCATCTTTTGAGATGCTTGACAGCGCCTCAATCGTTTTTTCCTTTCATGTCTCTTTTCATTCGAGGAAAAAAAAAAGTCGCACGGGGCAAGGTCGGGTGAGTATGGAGGGTGATGAACAGGGGTCATACCATTTTTGGTCAAGAATAGTCATACAGACAGGGCTGTGTGAGCAGGGGCATTGTCATGATGGAAAACCAGTCACCCGACTGCCACAAATCTGGCCGTTGAGCTCCAAGTCACTCCCAACAGCTCCACAATTTCTTCAATGGTCCGTCGTCGATCTTCCTTGATGATTTCACGAATTTTTTCAACATTTTCATGTGTTCGGGCCATGGAAGGACGACCAGAACGAGGTTTGTCATCAATTGACATTTCACCATTTNAGCTCTGCCCACAAAAAAATTAGTTTGGTTTCTTTTGGGTACCCCATCGTATATGCTACAATGCATAGTACACAAAATAGAACATTTCACAAACACAGCAGTTTCCTGGGAATGTAAAGTTTTTAACAAATTATATAAAATTTCTTGATGCTAATTAAATTTTTTTTTTGTATTGTCAATAATTAAAATTCATAAACCATGCAGGCTCGTGTTCGTCCTCCCATCGTCCCTCTTATATGGGGCAGATATTGTGCCACCTGGCTATCTTGATGTGGAGGTTCTTTATATCGTCCAGGGTTTGCTCGTGGCTGCTGTGCTGTTTTCACTGTTTTTATATAATTTTTTAAAAACTTTACATTCCCAGGAAACTGCTGTGTTTGTGAAATGTTCTATTTTGTGTACTATGCATTGTAGCATATAAGTGTACATACTATACATCTAAACAACTTATGTGATGGTGGTTTCCTATTTGTAGTGATGTTTGCCCTCTGAAGATGGTCCACAGAGACCGAAACATGTAAGGGTGTTAGTTTTTATGTAGTAAAAACTTACAGGTCACATTGGAAGGAGTGATTTATATTTGTAATGTGAGATGGGACCTAGCAAGTTTATGAAATGCAAACCATTCATACAGGACCTTCCAGGTTTCAGTGTGTACACACCCACACAGAATGTAAAGTTATTGTACTCTATAGTTTGGATGGTAGTGAAAGTTGCGAATTCAAGGTACTGATGTATTAAATTTATGTATGTAAAATATTGTTATTTTAATGCAGTATAATCATTAGTTTGGAATGGGTGCATAAGTTGTTTTGTGGATTGTTGCATTGCGATTCCTTTTTTAAAATATTTCGTGGATGGCTTTCTGCCTTCTCAGTTTACAGACACGTGTGTTAACCTCTACTATAGCAGTCCTTATTAACTCTTGTTTACATTATTTGTTTTTGGTGGAAGTTCGCCCTTTAAGGGGAATTGTTCCATCAGGAAGCAGGAAATCATGTTAATATGACTTTAAATGAGGTACAATTGCCTGACACATATATAGCTGTCTTAATATTATGCATCCTGTTGTGTGTTTTAAACGAAGTACATAATATGTGTTGTGCAAATATAAATATTGTCAGGAGTTGTTTGTTTGTAATGCGACAAATAACTTCACGCATACGTTATTGTACACTCGCTCTTACACTTACACAATTTATAGTGTCCCAATTACTTCTTTTGCTGTAGTCACTTCCTGGGTTCAACTGTCTTGAATCCATTCACTCGATACAACTTAACAACTTAACATATTTTCGAAGGCTGGAAACCAACTGTTAATGCTCAGTTAACTCCAGTGAATACTAGACTCCAGCTGCACTCAGTAACTGCTAGACTTCCACTGACTCCTTAATCATTCCAATTTCTCTTATAAACCTTCAGCTGGACAGTGGAAAACACACCTCGCTCCCCTATTGCATAATCACCATGTTTACCGATTGCCTAGCAGTAGTCACTGCACAGACTCGCCTGTTGTTTGATGTCAGCCTAGCAGGGAGAGGTTTTTACCAAGCCTTGTGTAGTGATAGAATTAATGGGGGTATATGATGTCACTCATGGCAACTCAAGAGTTCACGTGCCACCTACTTCCTGTTGCGCAATCCACATTACAATATAAATGCTGTCAGGACTAATAAACAACATTCTAAATTCACACAACA